GGAGAGGGTGTGGAGAAAAGGGGACTCTAGTACACTGCTGGTGGGAATGCAGACTGGTGTAGCCACTATGGAAAACACTATGGTGTTTCCTCAAAAAAATTAAAAATAGATCTGCCATTTGACCCAGTGATCCCACTTCTAGAAATATATCCTGAGAACCCTGAAACACCAATCAGAAAGAATATATGTACCTCTATGTTCATAGCAGTGCTATTTACAATTGCTAAGATCTGGAAACAGCCCAAGTGTCCATCAATAGATCAGTTGATAAAAAAGCTGTGGTACATATACACAATGGAATACTATGCAGCTGTAATAAAAAAAAAGATCTCTTATCCTTTGAGACGACATGGAGGGACCTGGCTGGAAACTATTATGCTAAGCAAAACAAGCCAAGCAGAGAAAGACAAATATTACATGATCTCACTTATTTGTGGAATATAATGAACAAAATAAGGTGATGAACAAAACAGACCCAGAGACATAGAAGTAGGGTTCAGACTGACAAACTTCAGAGGAGGGGGCTGGAGGGAGGGAAGAGATAAACCAAAGAATTTATGCATATAAGCATAACCAATAGACATAGACAACAATGCTGGGGTGGGGGTCGCGGGAACAGAAGGAAGGTGTCAATGGGGGAAAAGGAAGAAATATCTGTAACAAAAATTAATTAATTAAATTTAAAAATTAATTAATTTTAAGAAAGAATTATTTTACTTAATCCTGGCTTTAACCCTTTAAGTTTGGTACTATGGTCATTCCCAATCTCTGAGTTGAGGCTCAGAGAAGTTACTTGCCCAACAAACCACAGATGATCAGTGGTGAGGATAGTATTCATGTCAGTTTTGAGTCCAAGGTCCATGCGGGGAAGTTCTCCCCTTGTGTCATGATGAAACCTTTACTGTTCTTCTGAAAGGTCAGTAGCCATCAACAGTATGGGGCAGAGGGAACAGCACTGGACCAAAACTTTTCTTGTTATGGCTTTGGCACTGACTAGCTGTGTGACCCTGGGAAAGTCACTTCCCCTATCTGGGCTTTACCTTCTTTATCTATAAAGTGAATGATGAGAACCAAAAAAAATTTCTTTCCAGAACTGTCAAGCTGTAACTTTGACAGAAAAGTTAAAAACAAACAGCTGAAGGATGGTGAGGGGGCTGGAAAGCAAAAGCCCACTGACGAGCATTTTCAGAAACCAGAGAACTAGCCCTGGCTGGTGGCTCAGTCAGTTGGAGCGTCATCCTATACACCAAAAGGTTGCAGGTTCAATTTCTGGTCAGGGCAACATACCTACACTATGGGTTCAATCCCTGGTCGGGGTGCGTATGGGAGGCACATAGATGTTTCTCTCTCTCTCCCTTCCTCTCTCTATTAAATAAATAAATAAATAAATAAATAAATAAATAAATAAATAAATAAACAAACAAAAAAACACAGAGACCTAGTTCTGGTTCCACCAGCCCAGGTGCAGAACAACCTCAGAACTATCCCAAGTCCTTTCAGTCCTAAAGCAAAGAGGGGATCAGAGTGTGATTCCTCTCCTGTCGCGAAGGCCCGCAGTTGAGCCTCTTTGAGGACGCACAGGCTATGGGCCTCGTGCCCATCTGCTCCCCCTGCACACCATCTCTCCTCCCCAGGCCCAGAGTCCTGGACTTGCCCAAGGCAAGTTGACACGAGGTACTTGCACCTACCTAAAATGTCCCCCATAATGGTGGTGGTAGACAGGGCTCGACTCATACCAGATTTTTCGCTACCCCAAGCCTCCTTCATATCAGTTCAAAAAAGCTAAAACTAAGGGCAGCACTAGTAGCAGCTGCTGGGGCACCATCAGGAGCAGTGGATGGAAGGAAAGTCTTCAAACCCACTGCTACAAAAGGACTCAGCATTTCTTTTTTCTTTTTTTAAAATTTTTTTTTTTTTTACTTATTTTTTTTTTAGAGAGAGAGGAAGGGAGAAAGAAACATCAATCAGCTGCCTCTTGCATGCCCCCTACTGAGGATTGAGCCTGCAACCCAGGCATGTGCCCTGACTGGGAATCAACCAGGACCTCTCCATCCATGGGTAGACGCTCAATCCACTGAGCCACACCGGCTGGGCGGGGCTCAGTATTTCTGCTGCCACCATAGACTGGCTGGTGCCAGAGGCTACACACTCACGCCCCTTATAAGGCCCAACAGAACTCTGCATTTTTGCGGCTATTTTCATCAACTACCGCAGGTGCCCAAGAAACACCTCCACTCTACTCACGCAGAATCACATAACTACGTGGAAGACTCAGCAGCCTGGAATTCCAGAGGCCAAGAAAATACAGAAGGTGGCGGGGAGCAAACCTCTCGAGAGAGGTGGCTAGGTAGAGGAGGCAGACTTTCAGACCCCACATGACACCGCGGGAGTGGAAGGAACTGAAGAACGTGCAGCAATCCGATATTCACAATCCCGACCTCCTGGAGGAGGAAGAGGACCTGAAGTGGCTTTCTCCATCTTGTGTTCTGTGAGGCTAAGGGAATTCCCACGCCCCAGTCTGCTTCAAGAATCAACTAATAGCCCTGGCTGATTTGGCTCAGCGGTTAGAGCATTGGCCCGTGGACCAACGAGACTCGGTTTCAATTCCAGTCAAGGGCATGTACCTTGGTTGTGATTCGTCTCTGGCCTTGATTGGGGTCATGTGGGAGGCAGCCACTCCACGTGTCTCTCTCACATCGAAGTTTCTCTCTCTCTCTCTTCCTCTCCCTCCCACTCTATCTGAATAACAACAACACAAAAAAGGAAAAATATCCTCGAGTAAAGATTAAAAAAGGAATCAACTAATATTTTCTCTGTGCTGCCCCCTTCCCTTAATTCTAAAACGGGTATCAAGCCCTGGCTGATCTTGCTCAGCGGTTAGAGCAATGGCCTGCAGACCAAAGGGTAGCTGGTTCCATTCTGGTCAAGGGTATGGGTTGCAGGTTCAATCCTCAGCCCCTGTCAGGGTGGTGCAGGAGGCAACCAATTGATGTGTCTCTCTCATATCGATGTCTCTCTCTCTTTTTTCCTCCCTCCCTTCCACTCTATCTAAAAATGGGAAAATATCCTCGGGTGAAGAATAACATACATACATACATACATACATACATACATACATAAAAAATGGGTGTCACAGTCCTGCCTGGCCACACCTCGGGGTTGCTGTGAGGAACATAAGAGGATAACATTCATGAAAGGACTTTATGAACTGTTAATGGGTAAAGCATTGATGTTACTAAGAGGCTCTGATGGCCAATTTGTGTACCTCCCCTGCCCATCCTGGGGAAACTGCTCAAGGCACCTGGCTTGCTGAGAATGGGGAGCAGTGCCCCATCCAGGAGGCTTGGGAGGAGCATAGCCAAGTAAAGAACCCCATTCTCATGATCTCCACTACTTCTGACCATTTCCTGTACCCATCGGAGCTCAGTGTGCTGTCTCACACCAAGACAGCCACCCCCTTGTCCATGGCCAGGTCCCAGATGGCCTGTCTGCTATTGTTTCCTCTGGAAGATGAGGTGGAATTAGTGAATGAGTACCTGAAGACCAGGATTTGACTCTTACTTCTGACACATGTGGAGTCTATGAGCATGGGAAATTCACCTGACCTGGCGTAAAGTCAATTTCCTCACACATCAGAGTGGGTGAAATTGTATCCTCCCACATCCCCCCAACCGCACAAGAGTGTTGTGAGCTCAGATGAAATAATGGGTGTGTAAGCCCTTTGCAATTTGTTAAGCACTGTCTATATGTGAATTTAGTAGTAGTAGTAATAGTAGTAGCCGTAATCAGACACTCTGGAGTTGTTGAAGTGAATTTCGGTATATTCACTTATAAAGTATAATGTTCATGGACATGAACAACAAAGCTGGGGACAGGGTAGGGATGTAGGGGGAGGGGGAATCAGTGGGGGGGAAGGAGAAACATCTGTAACAAAAATAAATAAATTAATTAAAAAAATATTATTTCTGTAGGCATATGATAGCCTTTAAAGGTTCAAGTAGATCCTTTTTATTGCTATTTTGCTAAGAGTTCTTATGAAAGAAAGCTAACATTTATTAAAAGTATTTTCTGCACATATTGAGGATCCACTAAAATTTTTCTTAATATGATGGTTTAAATTAATAATTTTCCTCATATTAAAACCTCTTTGAACTCCTTTCATTAAAAAAGAAAATAAAGTATAATGTTCAGGTAGGGTCAGAATATAGGAAATGGTGCAAATACATCTGTTACTCATGATCCTTGTGTGGCAGAACGTGAGAACGTGGCTGATGTTCCTTTTGGATAACTCCTGGGGTGGGGATCATGCAGATAACACTAACTTACACTCAGGAAGCCCTTCACGCCTCCACAGCCCAAGGTTACATGGACAATAGTGGTGAGGCCTGGACTCGAGCCTGCTCCGTCGGCATGTGGGTACATGAAAGTGGCAGACACGTTGACGTGGACCATTTGGGTTCCTCCGAGCCAGGACAGTGAGCACTGCCACTCTTCATGGGACACATGAAAAACCGGCTCCGGCACAGCCAATTTTAATTGCTGCTGAAACCAACTCAGACATTGCTGAAAGTACGCAGAAATCTGAGCTACTTCTCAATTTATAAATTTTTAATATTTTTAATTTGGTTCATAATCCAGTTTAAAAGTGGATTCCACCAAAAAAAATGGATATAAACATAGACACACATTCATATATTATGCAGATGTAGATGTAGGTGCTTGTATATATTTCATTTTTAATTCAGTGTTTAATAGGTTCAAGGACTTTAGTTAGGTTTTTAATCAAGACTCTCTTTCTGGAAGGAGTCCTATAGGATAAATTAAGAGACACCAATGAGGAAAAAGTTCCATCCAGGAAGTAAACCTAAAATTGGAACCCATAAATTCAGGCTCCAAGTCAGAACTACCACTTATGGTTGAGGGAAGAAAAAAAAAAGTGTCTCGTCCTCTTACAGACGGGCCCTCCTTCCCCCAGGCCCGAGGACCTCTCTGGTCGTTACCTGACTCTCTCTTCTTCAGCGCTCTTCAGGGCAGCGTCGCGCTGCAGAACCTTCATGATGGTGTCTTGCTCCTCCTCCGTCAGAAAGCTTAAGTCGATCATTTTGAAAGGCGTATGCAAAAATAACAGTAACAAATCCGGCTTGAGAGTCTCAAAGCTAAACAATTCTGGCTGCAACCCGGATGATCAAAAGTCAAAAGCGAAATGAAATATCTTGTTCAGTTCTGCAGCAAAAGTCTTGCTTCGGCTCAGCAAAAGTTTTCGGTGGCTGACTGCAAAGTCCTGAGTGCCCTTTCCCAGGAGGCGGGAGTGGTCTGTGGGGCGACATGGAGAAGCAGCTCTCAGAAGGAAGCTGCATTCCTGGCCAGGCAGGTCCCTTGTTCTTACAGTGGCATTTTTCCTCACACCCCTTCTCTGGACCAGTCTTAGTTCATTCTCCTTCAGTCCTCATCAGCAGCTCAAGAAAGTCAGCAGTATCTGAGCACCACCTACCTGGGGAATCAGGAGACAGTAAACATCAGTGCGAGCTCAATAAGCATTGCTCTTTTCTACAAGATTTAAAACATGCCTGGGGGCCGTGGTGAAGGACCATGTGAGATGGTCTCTGAGATCAGGGAAACCAATTCTGCTGGCTTTCTGAGCAAACAGCAGATGGGTCATGAAACATGCTTCCACTCCATTCCACACCACCAGGAGAGCACACAGAAATGCCTGTCAGTGTTAGGGGTCCACCCAGGAAAGGGATGTTGGCACAAAGGAGCACCTCAAACTCATGGACACTAGGCTAAAAAGTCACAGTAAAAGTCAGCAAGACAACAACTGAGACCAGAGAGACATGTTCCAGCTGTCCAGGGACTATAGGTGAGAAATCAGAAATGAAAATGCACCAACGCTCATTTCTTCATGTGCAGGAAGGTTCTGTGGGAGTATATCTGCTCCATAACGACAGAAGAGCTAGTATCAGGTACAGGTAGTTTGCAAAATGGTGTGAGTTGTTATTCTTCACCTAGTTCCACCTCTAACCTTTGCTCGGCTTCGAGCAACTCACCAGGCTTGTCTCCCTTCATTTCTGAACAGGAAGAACACTGACTGGTATGTGTATATAAACTGGGGACAAGAGAGGCAGAACTTCAAAACACCCCAGCCACCCAAAGTGAGCATTTTAAAGTAGGACAACGGGCAAGACTCCTATTTTCTCCGAGGCATCTAAACCCATGTGCAATGAGAAGGAAGATCTGAAGAAGGTCGTAACCAGACAGGACTTCAGAGATTACCAGCTCCAGGCCCCAGGCCCCATTAACAAGCACAGTGCTGCATAAACAGTGGACACCAAAAACCAAGTGTTTTGTAAATTTTAAAGTAGTCTCACTTAAGCATAAAATGGAGTATGTGTACTAGTGAGTAATTTTTATGAATAAATTCTTTGTTTGGGCAACACAGTACTACTGGGAAGTACTCCCTCCATCATTCGCTAGCTATGAACCATTCGGCAAGTCACCTCCCACTCTGGCTCGGTTTTCTCATTTGTACTCACTCGACAGGTTGGAAGGACTAAATAAAATAATGAATATAAAACAGCACATACCTTGCATCTAAAACTCTATTTAGCTACTAAAACTATATTCTAGTTTCCTTCTGAATTCACACTTTGTTTCATCCAGCAGAATAATAGTGTACTGGTTGTATGCTTCCCTTTTCTCTTTTGAATTATGTTTGCTATCTCCCCCATGAAGTCTGGCCTTCATGGGCAGGTACCCCGAAGACCTCTGTTTTCTCTTCCTATATCTTTTTACAAAATGCCCACAGAGACTACTCAAATAAATAGTAAGACAATAATACTTCGTTCTCTTTTTTAACACTTTGCATGCACTTTCCTGCTTGTTCATCTCGAAAATTACTCATCATTCAAGATGAAAGTCTCCACCTCCAGGAAGCCTGCCCTAACTTCCATAGCCAGAGTTAAAGACTTTAGTAGATTTGCTTATTGTTCCTAATTCTTTGGTCCTTACTTGAAACAGAACTATACACCCATGTTGCCACTAGAGTAAGCATGGGTTTTCAGCCCCACCTTCCTGATGTTGGGCTTGGCCTATGTGTCTCACTTTGGCCAATGGAATGTTACGAATGTGATATAAGCATAAACTGTAGATGTGCTTGGGTGGCTTGGTCTCTCACGCTCCTGCATGTGGCACAAGAAGGGCTCGCCCCAGGTAGCCACTGCCTCTTCTATCAGGGTCCCAGAGAGAGAGATACAGGGATAAACCCAAACCTCACCCACCTGAAACAGGGTCACCCCAGTTCACCTGCAGAGATGAAAGCAAGAAATAAATATTTGTTGTTGAAAGCCACTCAAGTTTGGGGTTGCTATATAACATTTTTGTAGCAGAGATTTGACTTCACAAAAGCTTTCTCCTCCATCTACATACCTCCACTGCTATGATTATTTGTCTGCCTTTAGTCTCTCCCATCTGACTGTGAGCCTCTGAATATGAATGGCCTAGTCCAAATATAATTCACCAGGGCATAGCTATCTCAATTATTTCATGCACAGCAGCTTTGTTTCATGCACGGTAACTTCCTTAGAGCTCAAAGGCTGGCCAGGAAATGGATCCAGGCCACATTCCAGGAACCATGTCCCTGATGAGGCATTACACTGCCATTTGGTTCACTGGGACATTGTTTTTAAGTTCAATGAGGGGGACAGGAAGAGGACAAAAGAGAAAAACCAGCTAGGTTGTCCAGCCGTGGTAACTGGCAGGGCTGCTTGCTAAAGGGGGAAATGCTGGTTCCCACACCTTCAGGTAGAACTACAAGCAAAGCAGTGCTTCTATGTAAAAGCTTCTAAGGGTTAAAAATTTTTCTGAAAAATAAGCTGTTACTGAGACAAAGGGCATTGTCCCCATTTTACAGACAAAGGAGTGCAGAGCTGGAACCCCTGACCCCTAACTGTAGCTAGGAGTCACTACCCAGTCGGATGGCGAGAGAGCCCTCAGATGGCCATGGAGATTCTTCAATACCAGGTGCTCCCCCAACTTCCAATATTCCGGGTGTTATCTATCGTGGGAGCTAATCAAACTTTTCATCCACTCAACAAACATTTATTGAGAGCCTTTGTGCCTGGCACTGTCCTAAGCACTAAAGATATGACTATAATAAGACAAAAATAAACTTCCTGTCCTTTGGGGAGCTTACATGCTAAATAAAGGAGGCAATGTTCAAATTAAATAAAAAATAATAATAATTTAATTATGTAACCTATTTGCAGGCAAAAACAGCCATGGAGGAAAACAAAACAGAAAAGGGAATAATGGGGGGAGGGGAGTTGGAGTTTTATGTTTTTTGTTTCTAATTATAAATTATTTTATATTAATTAATTTATTTTTGTTACAGATGTTTCTCCTTTTTCCCCTTTGACACCCTCCTCCTGACCACACCCCACCTTATAGCATCATTGTCTATGTCCATTGGTTATGCATATATACATATAAGTTCTTGGGTTTATCTCTTCCAACCCCTCCCACCCACCTCCTCTAGGTTTGTCATTCTGAACCTTACTTCCACTCTCTGGGTCTACCCTGTTCCTCAGACTGCTATGTCCATTATATTCCACAAATAAATGAGATCATGTGATCATGTGATATTTGTCTTTCTATGATTGGCTTATTTCTCTTAGCATAATACTTTTCAGGTCCCTCCATGTCATCTCAAAGGATAAGAGATCTTTCTTTCTTACAGCTGCATAGTATTCCACTGTGTAAATATACCACAACTTTTTTTTTTCCTTTATCCTCACCTGAGGACATTTTTCCATTTTTTGTTCAGATAGAGTGAGAGGGAAAAAGAGGGAGGGAGGGGGAGAGAGAGAGAATGGGAGGGGGGAGAGAGAGAGAGAAACATCGACATGAAAGGGACACATCGAGTGGTTGTCATCCGCACGACACAACCAGGGCTGGAGACAAACTGCAACCGAAGTACACACCCTAACGGGAACTGAACCCGGGTCTCTCTGGACCGAAGGCCGATGCTCTAACCCCTGAGCCAAACCGGCCAGGGCTGTACCAAAACTTTCTTATCCACTCATCTACTGATGGACACTTGGGATGTTTCCAGATCATAGCGATTGTAAATTGTGCTGCTATGAACATAGGGGTACATATATTCTTTCTGAGTGGTGTTTCAGGGTTTTCAGGATATATTTCTAGAAGTGGGGTCACTGGGTCAAATGGCAGTTTCATTTTCAATGTTTTGAGGAAACATCATACTGTTTTCCTTAGTGGTTGCTCCAGTCTGCATTCCCACCAGCAGAGTTGGAGTTTTAAAGAGAGGGTTTAGGGCAGGTCTCACTAAGAAAATGACATTTGAACAAAAATTGACAGAGATGAGGAAGAAAGCCACGCTGAGGGTCCTGAGGTGGGAGTGTGTCTTGTGTGGTCAGAAACCTCAAATAGACCAGTGCTGACTATCGGATGGGCCAGGACAGAGCAGGTCAGAAAGGAAACAGATCAAACTGTATTTGGCTTTGTAAGGGCTATACGATCTCTGGTTTTCTCTCTGAGATGAAGCAGTATTAGAAGAGGTAGTATAAAAGCAGAAGAGAACAAACATTTACTGGGCGCCTTGATGCACCCGGCGCCTTCCATTGTCATTCCATAGGCTCCTCACCAGACCTAGGGAGGGATTTTATCATCTGTGGTTTTCAAACAAGGAGGGTAAGGCTCTGGGAGATGTTTACCACCAAGCTTGTGTTCAGTGGGGCTGGCACGTGCTAGTGGACTTGTCAGATTCAGCCACCCCGACACTGACATCTCATTTAATTGCCCCTCCACACTGATTTCTCAAGCTGGGAAGCAGAACAAAACTCTTCCGTCTGGCTGTGAAGCCTCGTTCTCTGTTTAAGCAAAAAACAACCACTGGCCCACAGCTGGCAGTCAGCATGGGGGCAACCTCAGTGCAAATGTGTGTGTGTGGGGGGGGGGGGTAAATTTTGGCCACAGGGATTCCTGATGTGTTCACAGAAGGAGCAGCTCTCACTAGAGCAAAATCTCATCCATTTATTCAGCCCTCCCTCCCGCTCCTCCTCTGCATGCTGCTGAGCAATTAAAAAAAAAAAATCTGACTGAGCCCTATTCCATGCTTAACACACTTCACCAACTCCCCACTGCCCGCTGGCTAACGCTCAGTCCTCACCGTGGCCCGTGGGGCTGACCGGAACCAGCACGTTCTCCTCTCCAAGCTCCTCTCCTTGGGCCCCAGCCACCCTGGACTCGGTCAGCTCCTTTTGCCTTCAGGCCTCCGCCTCCGCTGTTCCTTCCTCCTGAAACCCCCTTTGTGGAGCTAATACCTCTTGAATCCCCAATTAGTCAGGTATTGCACAGAAGCCTCCCTCACCGCTCAAGGCCAGGTTAGGTGACCCTCCATTGTGCTCCGTTGGCAGCTGGCTTCCTCGTGAGGGTACTTCACGTGGTCTCGGATCCCTGTCTGCTCCTGCTTGCCCCTCACTAATTTATGAGCGAGGCCTGGGCCTCTGAGTGCTCAGCGTCCCCAGCAGCTGCCACTCCGCCTTGCTCCTACTGGGCACTCAAGTCTTTAATACACGAACACAGGTCCCCTTAACACAAACCTGGCTCTCAGGCCCATAACTGAAAAATCGGGTCCACGTTATTCATCAAGTTCCAGCTCCAGGTCCTTTGTGTGACCGCGCGGTCTCAGTTTTCCCACCAGTATAATGAGTAAATTCACTCCCACTTCCCCCTTCGTATGGAAATTACCTCGACGCTCTGGGGACAATGCAGGACATCATGACGGACAAGGAAGGAGTAAGCAGCAGCTGCAGCAGCGCCACAAAAGGGCAATTTGAGGGCCCCGAACGCAGACTGTGCTTGACTCAGTCTCCAAGCATCGGCCCTGCTGTGCCACATCGGTCAAAGCCTGGTCAACTGTCCAGAGTGAACCCGGAGAAAGAAACCGAGGCTCCGAACAGTTGGCACTTGCTTCTGATGGCAGCAAAGAGAAGAGCTCAGCTTGCGGCCCTAATCTCTATCCTCTGCCTGGCCAAACCCAGGTGAGAGCCTGGTTCACAAAAGCATTTGTTCCCCAACTCACTCTGCTGCAAGAGGCGCCCAGCAGCACCTTCTCCTTTCCCAGATGACTGTTGTTGTGCCAAAGCCTGCAGACCCCACGGAGGGGAGGAAAACGCGAGTAAGCAGTGACTCTCACATGATGAGGTTTTCAGAAGAGAAGCAAATCGTTCTGGCAGTCCCATGACATCAAGAATGAAGGCTTGAAAGGAAAATCTGGGAGGCAGAAGGAGAGCAGGAACAAATATGTTTGAGTCAGGCTGGGGCTGGGGAGAATGGTGCTGGACAAAGACAGGCCTGATCAATTAAGAGGCTTACCCCTAGCCGTGACAAACCATCACACACAAAACCAAATGCTCTGGAAACTTCCTAGATCACAGTGGCATCAAAGGATAAGTGGAATAACCCACAGATGGCTCAGGAAGAGCTTAGGAAGGAACGAGTGCAGGGAGACCATCAGAGAACCTTTGCTCACCTCTCTCGGCAGAAAGAGCTCCCCACAGCGGACTGAGCTGGTGGTCAGCAGACCAGCAGGCCACACTGCCAGGACACCCGTGCCCAAAGCAGCAAGCTCCCCTGCTGGGCTGGGCTGCTCTACTTCTCAGGCACACGGTGGAACTTCCTGTCGTTCCCACAATTTGCCTCCGATTTGCCCTGCCACCCTAGCTCCCTCTCCCTTTCACACAACAATTAAAAAAGGAAGAACGCTTTCGTGTTCTCCCAGAGTCCCCTTTGTGGAGGGTCAAGATGAACTTCCTCTTTCCTTCAGCTGTCCCTCACATGACATTTTCTGAGCCTCTCATGATCTTGGTCATTTTTCTCTGAACCAAAATATGAGCAGGTGGTGCTAAGTACTTCACACATGTTATTTCAGCGAATCCCTCTGACCCCCCAGTGAGGGAGGTATTCTTCACACCGTGCAGATGGCACTGGGCTCGGGGAGTTACATAACTTGTCTACAGTTGCTCAACCAGAACGTGATGTCAACGCAGGACTGTGAGATTCTAAAGCCACCGGTTTTAATCTTCACTACATCATCATCCCCCTTATTCCCAGAGAGCTCACGTGGCTAGTTAGAGACCAAGATGAGACTAGAACCCAGATTTCCTGATTCCCAGACCAGTTTGTTCACCCGGCTAGTCCTCCTTCTGGGTCTTCTTTCTTCTTTGTCATCTCCTGTGGGCATCATGCCTGGGCCCTCCAAGGCCCCCGCATGCTCTTCTGTGCACAGCTTGTTAGGAATAGGAAAATGACTGGGCTCTTTGGTTTGTTTTATGGACAGACATGGGGAAAAGGGACATGCGTGGGATAGAAGGAAAAGGCACCTGTGTTAACATGCAGGTGTTTATACATGCCCGTCAGCCTCTCAGAATGGTAGAGATCCCTGGAACCAGAAACTACTACTTAAAATCCTACTTTAGCCCTGGCCAGTTTGGCTCAGCGGTTAGAGCGTTGGCCTGTGGTCCGGAGAGACCCGGGTTCGGTTCCCGCTAAGGGCACATACTTCGGTTGCAGTTTGTCCCCGGCCCTGGTTGGTCGTGCGGGTGGCAGCCATTCGATGTGTCCCTTCATGTCAATGTTTCTCTCTCTCTCTCTCTCTTCCTCTCTCTCCCTCCCACTCTATCTGAACAAAAAATGGAAAAATGTCCTCGGGTGAGGGAAAAAAAAAAAACAACTACTTTATATGTTTAAATCCAATCAGAATGTTTGTCTTAGGCTTACACAGAAATGTGTTCACATAAACAGTGCACTTTGTCCACGGGACTGTCAGGAAACAATGCTACATGAGTATTTTCCTGTTTCCGCATGGTCAGGGCTTCTACCACTCTATTAAAAACATGCAAATTACTCAACCGAACATGGTGCCTAAATTAGCCTTCTGAGGGGGAAAAGAATAATTCATTGTCTAATGACGAGTGTAAGGTGGCCTCCCAAAAAATAATGAGTTAAGAAATAAAATGAACAAATGAAGTGAATCTATGAAGAAGTGAATAAATGAAAGAACGTGGGTGTGATCGGAAAAAGAAGTTAGTTTGATATCCCTTGTTTCTGTTTTCTTTTTTCATAGAGGAGCCAACTGAAATATCAGAACTGACAGGCAGCCTTGGGAAACAAAGCTTTCAGGCCTGTGAGGGTTCTTCCAGGAGAGGAAGCCCTTTTCCTACTGCGTTCAACCCCAGCTCCAGGCCGATGGGGCTCACAGCCCATGTCTCCACAGACTGACCTGCGATCTCAAACGAAGAACAGGGAGAAGAAACCGCTACTGATACGTGAGAACTGTCCCCTTCCCCTTAAGCTCATATTCAATCCTAATGATAATGTCCTTAGAGCAGCAATTTTCAACCTTTCTCATCTCATGGCACACATAAACTCACTACTAAAATTCTGTGGCACGCCAAAATAAGTATTATATTTTTTGCCAATATGACAAAAAAAAAAAAAAAGTAGATATAATTTTGGTTCATTTACAGGATGGCTATTTTGCTGGCTGTTGTCATATTTTATTTGACAACGTAAGGAAAAGAGATCAGTGTCCCTGACTAAACAGTCAGGTGTTGCATGTTTTAAAAATTCTTGTGGCACATCAGTTGAAAACTGCTGCCTTAGATTTCCAAAAAGCTCATTTTTTGCTATTCTTAAGCCTCAACTTTAGAATTATGGTATCCATAATTTTTATTTTTAATTTGTTTATTTTTATTCTTTATTGATTTTTAGAGGAGAAGAAAGGACAGGGAGGGAGAGATAGAAACATTGATGAGAGAGAACACTGATTGGCCGCCTCCCGTATGCCCCCCATTGAGGATTGCACCCACAACCTGGGCATGTGCCCTGACCAGGAATCAAACTGGCGGCCTCTTGGTGCATGGTCGACGCTCAACCACTGAGCCACACTAGCCAGGCAGGAATTAAACATTTCAATCAAGCCTTCACCAAGGACAAGATAATGGGTCATTTGATGAAGATAGCATCATATACAGGTAACCCTCATACAGGTACTGTGTTCAGTCCTGATAAAGGAGGCACAAGCCAAGGGTTGGAGGCCACAGGGATTGTGGAAAGAGAGAAAGTGCAGTGAGCCAGGAAGGCTCAGTTAGAGAGGTGAGTGGGCACCCTGGGCGAGAGCACTGGACTCTGAAACCACAAAGATGTTCAAAAAGGAGACTTGTAACCAGAGTACAGGTATAAATGGGGAAACAGCACCTGGGTCAGACCCTGAGGGGTCGAAAATGCCAAGAGAGAAAATTTGAACCTAAATGTTTCACATTTTCCAGTCTTGGTAAATTAAATGTACCTAAAACCACCCTATTAATCTCTATTTTCTTAGTTTGTATCCAAAAGATAAAAACAGTAAAGAAAGAAAGGAGCTGGGAAATTGGGCAGCTGAAAATTCATTTTAAACTTCACACCCAGGCTGAAAACTCAAGTCACTTCTAAAAAAAGATGACAGTCTACGAAAGGGAAGGCTTACCTCTGCCAGCCCATTGAGACAGCAGAACAAGGCCCATCTGACATTGGGGAGCTGCTGTAACATATCTGTGGGCTCCTACTGGCTTCCCAGCTTGGGAAGCACAGGAACTTCCCCTGCGTTCACAGCCTCAGAGAGGGCCCCCTCCTCTCCCCTTGGAATGGCAACTTCCACCACAGTCCCAGATCCCCACTCTGGAAGAGGGTAAGTTGTATGTCCGTGAAGTTCTAATGGTGTGCACAGTCTGCCCGCAGAGCTCATATTCTGGAAAAAAAGACAGATGTTGAACAGGCCCAAGAAGTCCTACAAAGCAGAAGAGCAATGTGCTATGAAACTTTTAATTGGAGGGGGTGGGTGGGGGTAGTGCTTAATGTAGTCTCAGGGGCCAGGGAAGGCTTCCAAGAAGAAACGGGATCTCTGTCAACTGCAAACTCTAAAGTGATATCTAAATCGGGAGGTCTATCACTTTAACTGTACTCATTATTGCCTGCATCCAACTCTGGCTGATGGGCAGCACATTCCGAGCACATTTGCATTTTCTAAAATGTGCCCACAGGATGCAGCTCTTCGGCCAGGTTTGGGAATCACAGCCACAAACGATCCCAACAGGTCAGACATAGCTGATGATGTTAAAAGAGCGGAGCAATTTGGGAGGTTAAGCGTGTTCTTTTGCATGTCATTTGTTTTCCAGCTGTAACAGGAGCAGACGCAAAACTGAAGTAACAGCTGAATCAGAGTCATAACTAGCTCTTTGTGTAGATAAGGAAGCTGAGACGCAGGGGGTTAGACCAACTGCTTAAGGTCAGACAGCTACCTAATGTGAAAGCTGGGAAAGTCAGCGGAGACCACCTTTATTTGCCAGGACATACACAATTTTCACCTCAATAAGGATGTGCAAATAGGCTAATACATGGGTTGGGCTGCATTTCACAGTACCCCTAAAACCAGCACTCTGATAATAGCAGGCAGATGAATTCTACATTTAATGATTTTCTAGGTTTCAAATTCAGAAGAAAGGAGTGGAGGAACCAACTGATATATTAACCAGGCTGGAATGAAACCCAGGATCATAAAGTTAACTGAACTGTAGCAATCCCCAACTCAGACTTTACAAGGACGACATAAAGCCTCACTTTTGATGCAATCATTCGCATTCCTGTCTGGCCTGGGAGTGAGGGACTCTCTCCAAATGTACTAACTCTGGGATTCCCAAATCTCACTACATTGGCATCATCTAAAAAGGTTTAAAAACATACCCATGCCAGGTCTCTTCATCCTCCACCTCCCTGCAGCTATCTGATTTAACTGGTCCAGGGTCAGACTCCACCCAGGAATTTTCTTTAACTGCTTGGGCAATCGCAACGTGCGGCCAGCATTGAGATCACTGAACCAATAGTCCTCTCTTCTTTCTGGCCCCTGCTTGAATCCAGGACCTAAGGGTGAGGCACGAGGGCACAAAGCTTAAAGAGACACCCACTCTCAGGGTGTTACATGCACAGCGTCACTCCTTGCATGTCCTTGTGTACATAGAGTTTGTGCCCTGGGCACCTCACTCACCTCACCCTAGTCCCGACATGCTCAAATCTCTCTGACCAGGCCATTAATTATCCCCAAAATGCCCCAAGATG